CCTGCTGAAATGCAAGGACAACCCTTCACTGCTATTTGCCTCCCAGAACCTCTTTCACAGGGTTTTCTCTGAAAGAAGAGGAAGAAAACCAACATCTGTCCAGTTCATCTGCCTGACACCAGCAGTGCAAGATACCATGTGCATTTTTCAGAAAATGCAAAGATCGTCATAAAATTTCTAACTGTATTCATGAATTGTGACAGAGTAAGCTCTTTACAGCAGCAGGACCCTTTCTACCCTCTTCCATTCCTTCTTCAAGGAAGGTGATGGAGACCTAGAGCAGTCCCCTCCTGGCTCTCACACTTGAGAATTTCAGCACCAGCCAAGCCTGCAGGCAGTTTACAGAGGAGTGGCACGGTTGGTTGCTGCAGTACCAAAACTACGTTACACCTGGGCGGCTTTTGTCTCACTGTCACCTGTTCTTACACTACCCACCAACAGGTCTCTTTGGCCTAGATAATCTTCCCCTTCCAAGACAGCCTGAGTCCCAAAACCAGTCTTGCTGCTCCTAACAATGAATGTTTAAGGCTTAATTCTGCTTTAATGCAAATCTTTCAACATTTGCACAGATTTTTAACTTGGTGTTATGGGTTTGTGTGGCAAGGTTTTGATAGCAGGGGTGCTACAGGTGTGGCTTCAGTGAGAAGCTGCGAGAAGCTTCCCCCATGTCTGATAAATCCAGTGCCAGCCGGCTCTAAGACAGACCCAAGGCCAAGCCCATCAGTGACAGCGGTAGCACCTCTGGGATAACATAGTTAAGAAGAGGAAGAAAAACAACTGCGGTGAAATGGCAGTGAAGAGAGAGGAGTGAGATCAAGTGGGAGAAACAACTCTGCAGACACCAAGGTCAGTGAAGAAGGAGGGGGGAGGAGGTGCTTGAGATGCTGGAGCAGAGAGCCTTCCCTTGCAGCTCGTGAGGAAGACCATGGTGAGGCAGGTTGTTCTCCTGCTGTCCACGGAGGCCCACGGTGGAGCATGGGAAGGACCCACACTGGGACATGCCGTGAAGAGCTGCAGCCCATGGGAAGGACTCACGTTGGAGAAGTTAGTGGGGAACTGTTTCCCATGAGAGGGACCTCACGCTGGAGCACGGGAAGAGCTTGAGGAGTCCTCCCCCTGAGGAGGAAGGAGCGGCACACACAGCGTGTGATGAACTGACTGCAACCCCCATTCCCCGTCCCCCTGCGCTGCTCGGGGGGAGGAGGGAGAGCAATGGGAGTGAAGTTGAGCCCGGGAAGAAGGGAGAGGTGGGGGGAAGGTGCTTTAAGATCTGGTTTTATTTCTCAGTATCCTACTCCGATTTGGTGATGAATTAAACTCCCTTTTCTCCCCAAGTTCAGTCTGTCTTGTCTGTGACAGCAATTGGTGAGTGATCCCTCCCTGTCCTTATCTGGACCCTCGAGCCTTGCATCATATTTCCTCTCCCCTGTCCAGCTGAAGAGGGGGAGTGACAGGGCAGTTTTGGTGGGCACCTGGCATTTATCCAGGCCAAACCAAAACACTTGGCTACTCTATATAAGCACATTACTACTGTGAGTTGTTCTACTGAGGTAAACCTGATGAAGTCATTTTTTCATGACACACAAGTCATGATCTGGTTTTCATTCCTGTGCTTTTACCATAAAAGTTCACCCTTATGTTCAAGTAGTATGCAACTTATTCTAATACCTTTAATGAATTTCCAGTGTGAAGAAGCTTCTTTAAAATCAACCCTAAAAAGAAGGGAAAAAAAAAATAATATTTCTGTTTGTTTGTTCTTTAAGTAAGATGTCAGAGTTCTCGGTCAGACTTGACTGTAACTTTTGAACAAGTCCTTGGCAATCTCCAATTTAATCTCGGTGAACTTGATATCTTCAGGCAACTCTCTCAATGCCAGAAGTAAAAAAAACAGATCACCTTTCATAGCTTCCTCATAACATCTTTCCCCCAGGACTTTTTGGGACGTGTACATTAAAAGTAAATGATTCTCAAGTCATTAATGTGCACAGTATCAGCGTTCCTCATTTACAAATACAGACCTCACCCCAATTTTTAAATGTACCACTAAGAAAAATTAGAAAAAAAAAAAATTACAAAGCAACTTTCCACCTGCCTTGGTTCTTTCTCAGCCACTGCTCTATTTCCAGATTCCCAGCTTTAATTCTATCTGGAAGAGCATCTCATTACATTTGTGGCATGGAGTTTTTGTGGTTTGTTTTTGGTTTTTTTTTTTCTTCCTCTAGCTTGCAAGAGTTTCAAGACCATAATCCCTGTTATGCCACTTAAGGTTAAGCAGACGAGTAGCACAAACTACGAAGAGCTACTAACAAAAAGTACGATTTAAAAAACAAAGAAAGAAAGAAAATAAACTTACCAATACTATGAAATTGCCATCTCTGATGAATCCTTTCTGGAAGGAGTTGCAAAATTTTCTACAAAAAACAGAACCCAAGTATCTATGTTGCAGATATCGCACTCAGAAGACCAAAATGCGCTTTCACAAAGGTCACAGATCAGAAGCTGAAGGGTTAACTTGGAAAATTTCCACACTGCTTTCCCTGGAAGCATTACTGTCCTTTCAAGATAATCCCATTTCTAAAGCTAAGAAGCCCAAAGGCTCTGACAGGCTGTCTGGCAAGTCTTGCATCAGAGACTTCAGATGTTACTGCGGTTTATCTGCTTTCACTGCCTCTTTGCTGGATGTTACTACTCATTGCATTGGGACTGGAATGGGATGAGTATCCGTCTCAGTTGCTCTGGTTCACAACAGGTTGTATTAGGCTACTTCTACCTCTGTCGTGGCTTAAGCTAGGACATTTGGCTGTGAACTTGCCTCTGTGGCACCGGCAAACAATTGCTTCTGCCTTCTCAACATAGGAGTAATGAGCTATAGCAAAACAGTGAAGAAAAGAGCCAGGGCAACAATAATGGTCTAACACCTCTCCAGCTAGACTTGAAGATGATCATCTTCAGGCGGTAAAAAACAGAGCACAGTTAGTGACAAAAGGCAGTTAAAAAATCTGTTACATAGAACTTCAACACTTCTGCTAGAGGCATTAGCAACTTGTAAACAGTCTGATTTCCCAGAAGAATTCCTGGTCCTGGCCCTCTAGAAGCCTGTGCAACTGCTTTCAAAACACAGGTAACCTATACCCCTTTTTGTAGGAACCAGTGAACAAACAAACCAGCTCTCTTCAGATTCGCTCTCCTTGTAACAGCTAACCCTACAGTTTTAAGCACCAATATACCTTAAAAAAAAAAAAAATTTGAATGTATATACAACTTGATGTATTTTTAAAAAACACAATCTTGTTCTATAATTACAAGCCTCCATCAAAAAGGAAAGACAAAAATTTGTCTTTCTAAGCTCAGAAATGGTCTCATTTAATTAAATGAGTTTCTAATTCAAGATATGCTTTTGGTAAGGATATTGTGAAACGCTATTTTCAAACAACAAATCTTTTCAAAAATAGAAGGGATCTATAAAAACTAGTTCTGCAGCAGTAATCTATTAAGAGAAAAATCTTTGGGACAAGTACTGTTTAATACCTTCATCAGTGACATAGACAGCAGGTTCAAGTGCACCCTCAGCAAGTTTGCTCATGACACCAAGCTGAGTGGTATGGTTGACACGCCTGAGGGACAGGATGCCATCCAGAGGGACCTGGGCAAGCTCAAGGAGTGGGCCCATGTGAACCTCCTGAGCTTCAACAAGGCCAAGTGCAGGGTCCTGCACATGGGTCAGTGCAACCCCCAGTATCAATAAAGACCAGGGGACAAAGGGATTGAGAGCAGCTCTGCTGAGAAGGACTTGGGGGTACTGGTGGATGAAAAACTGGACATGACCCAGCAATGTGCGCTGGCAGCCGAGAAGGCCAACCATATCCTGGGCTGTATCAAAAGCAGTGTGGCCAGCAGATCAAGGGAGGGGACTGTGCCCTTCTACTCCACTTTGGCGAGACCCCACCTGGAGTCCTGTGTCCAGCTCTGGAGCCCCCAGCACAGGAAAGACACAGACCTATTGGAGAGGGTCCAGAGGAGGGCCACAGAAATGATCCGAGGGCTTGAACAACTCTCCTGTGAGGACAGGCTGAGAGAGTTGGGGCTGTTCAGCCAGGAGAGGAGAAGGCTCCACGGAGACCTTATTGTGACCTTTCAGTACTTACAGGGGGCTCATAAGAAAGACGGGGACAAACTTTACTAGGGCCTGTAGCAATATGACAAGGGGTAATGTTTTTTAAACTAAAAGAGGGTAGATTCAGACTAGATGCAAGGAAGAAATTTTTTCCAGTGAAGGTGGTGAGGCACTGGAACAGGTTGCTCAGAGCAGCGGTAGATGCCTCATGCCTGGAAACATTCAAGCTGAGGCTGCATGGGGCTCTAAGCAATCTGATGTAGCTGAAGATGTCCCCACTTACTGCAGGGAGGGACTGGACTAGCTGACCTTTAAGGGTCTCTTCCAATCCTACCCATTCTATGATTCACAACTAATCAGAGATCGCATTCATAAGAATTTCAAAGTGTACAATACATGGAGGGAGGCTGAGGGGAACAGAGGACACCACGATCAAAAAGTAATGAACTATCTGCAGATGCAGAAAACATATTTTTCCAGTTAATACATCTTCCTGCAAAACTGCAAGTCAAATCCTTTTTCTTCTCACACAAAGCACATATATTCAACTCCAAGCAAAAGAAAAATCAATGCAGTTAAGGGTAAAGCGTATTTCCAGGCAACTGTAGGATAGCTGTACTGTTATTCAACAGAGCTTAATTCGAAGTAAAAAAAACTCATACAGGAATATTCAAGTTATCTTACCTCAAAAATAAAGAGAATAGAATCTAATTCTTCTCTCTGAGACTTGTGACCTAGATGCAATTAAAAATAAAAGACACACTTTCATTATCAAAACAAAATATAAAGAACACTGACAAAGATCCTTAGATGCATAAAACAAAAACATGCATTTCTGCAACCACAAGACTTCTTTTGCATTCCTTCTACAAATATTTGCAACTATTTCCTAGTTACAGTTTATAATAGTTACAGTTTGTATAACTTTCTCTTATGGCATCAGCAGCTGGTAGAGATTAAGTTAGACAGTACCCTGCTAAACAAAACTTAGAATAATTCTACAGAACACAAAAAGTGGAACACCTTAAAAATCATTATTTTGCAAAAAGGGCAAAGCCAGCCATCACACAATAAACTTTCAGTGCTCGCCTCCACAGCATGCTCCTCGAATAGCTCTGCCTTAATGTACAAAGTTAGTGCTTACACATATTTCTACATATCTAATGCTGTCATTTGTGACTACAGACATGCTGCCTTATTTTATAACAAACACAGATGCACGAAGACAAAAAAAATGTTGTATTTGAAACACTCACCTTTTTGTTTAAGACCTACTTCAATAGTCACAAAGTTTTCGAAGAACACATAATATATATGTGAGAAATGTAGGTCGAAAAACTGTTTGAGATCAATTGATTCTGCATTCTCTGAAAAACAGAACAAAATACTGTTCTTGTTTCCTTCAAATATTCAGCGTCAACCACTGCATACCATTATCCAGTAGTAAGAACTAAAGATATTTAAAAGAAAAATTATTATTGGCAAAGAAATTCTTGGAGTTTTCATTCTTTCAAACTGAAGCTAAAGAAATTCAGTATGGCACACCACAAGTACCTAGTGAATTTTAAAACAGGAAGCAGCGTCTTCTTGCGTGACAGTAATGCCCGCACACCCCAGATGTGAGCCAGATGAACCAGAATTCCACCAGGACTAGCACTGTACAAATTAATGCTGTTTTAACTGCTAACTTAATAGAAATAAAGCTAATGACCCTGCCCACACTCCACAACAGAAAAAACCATCACTGTCCCCAGCTGTAACTACTAGACACAACCAAGCTTCCTTAAGAAGCTGGAGAACGATAAGTGAGGACTGCCTCTGCTTGGTAAACAGGTTGGGAGGAAGCAAACAGCAGCACTGGATTCCCACCGCTGCCTTCTTGCTCCCTCCAAGCTCCAATACGCACTTTCCTTTCCGGTCTGGCCCAGTCCCCTGTAGTCCTTTGACTGCGTGGTCTCAGGAGATCAGAAGCTGGGACCTCAGGGATACCCTGAGGCGGAAACATCATTGTGAGCGTAGAGAGGATGTGCTTTCTTGTGCACCCCAGGAGGGTTTCCAGACTCTCCTCCCACAACTTCAAAGACAGTTTTGTGCAAATCCAGAGTTAAAGAAATACACGATGATTTACCTAGGTTAATTTTAAACTGATCATTTAAAACAATTTAAAGCCCTAGCACATACTGAACCAAAAGACACTCCCTGTCCTGTTATTTAACTCCATGAGACTAGACAGACTAGGTGGACAGAACAATAGCACAGAGGCACAGAGGAAGAGCAAGACAAGGCAAAGCTCTGAAACAAACACTAACAAAAACATAAAAAAAAACAAACATGAAGAAAGGTGAGGCAGATAAAACCTTTGTACCTTTCACCAGCTCTGTACACTGAGGCACCATCTTTCACTGTAGATGTATCTTTTATAAGTGCCCTTCTAATTCTTTACTGGATCATAGCTTTTTGACTCTTTTTAGGATGACATCAATCTTTATCATCTCACATGACCAGTAGAGTATAAAGCACAGAAACAATCAATTGAAGGATGGCCAAAAGCATGGCATATTTTCAATTCTCTTTTACTACACAGCTCTACAGGTCTGCCAATTCAATTTTATCCCAAATTTTGCTATAAAAGTTTCCAATACGTGTTGAATTTTTGGAATATCACAGCATTCTGCCAGTGTCTTGCATAATCAGTGTGGTGGACTCAGTGTTCCTGGAGAACACAGTGCTGTATTAACAGCTAAGATCAACTCTCAAAGCAACACAGCTTAGCTAGCAATAAACTTTGTGGTGCAGAGTGGCAAGCGTGTGCCTGATCATCTACATGACTACCTAACCTCCAGTTTTGCAGAAACTACTACGCCACTTACAGATCAGCAGCTGAACTGCTCGAGTTCAGAGTCTGAAAGACTAAAGTAAGGACAACAAAACCCAACTCCACTTTAAACAATCTAGACCAGTTTTTAGGAGGTCAGGGCAAATACTGAAGAAACAGAGCTGTGACTAGAGCGTAGGCACAACCATTATATCCACTTCCACCCACGGGGCAGAACTCTAAGCCAGTTCTAGACTATGGACAAGAAAATATAGCAAGAGGCAAATCAAAAGGTTTTAAGGCAGAATGAGTAAAAGGAAAAGAAAGCAACGACTGTGAATTTCAGGAGAAAGGAGGGTGGCAGAAGATAATCTTTTAAGTCCATGCATTTAATTGCTGTATGGGAATTGCACACAGCAAGCAGTGGAACGGTTCACTTAATGCAGAGTGGAAAACACTAGTTCCAAATACTACAGATTGTAAGCAGTTAAACAGGCACTCTGCCAGTCGACACACAGGAATGCTGCATTTTTGCAGGCACATTAAATGTTTAATTTCCTGATACACGCCCTTATTCCTTCCCCAGACATGGGTCAACTCTGAAGCAGACAAATAAAAAAACAAAACTTAAAGACTCAATATTAACCCAAGAGTTTGTAATTTTTGGAGGCACTACTCCTTAGATTCTTCAGGAGGCAAACTAAAGGCTTGCCCACATAACCAGCTGAATGGTGATTCTCATCTTAGCACATAATAACTGTGTGACATTTGCATACATAAAACTGGCACTGTGGTAAGGCATTCTGCCTTTCCAGAGTTCTGTTTGGGGGTGAATTTCAGAGGATGGTCTTTTTATTTATTTATTTATTTAAGAACAGTATGGTGCCAATCACCTCAGAAAAGACTCAAAGGAGCATTAGTAGACCTGTATTATTATCATTAACACCCAATTAACACTAAAAGCATACTTCCAGAATAGAGCTATAGCATGGAAGAGCAGGATGAAAGTAAAAAAAATTCATTGAGTTTGCAACTTTTCTAGCAAATGCATTTCACCCCAGTTTCTTCCTCAGATCACACTTGATAGCATAAACAAGAGCGAGTCTTTGGAATTCAAACAAATAGTTAACAAGTGAATTCTTGCAGTAAGTTCTGTGGCTTCAGATGGAAGGAAAAAAATGGCATCATTTTATTTAATGGGAATTTTGTCCTGCCATTACCTAAAAATAATACTTCAAAAAAAACCAAAAAACAAACCCCAAACCCCACCCCAAACTATTTCTGTTAATGCTGAAAACCAGCTTTCCTTCTGAGGAAGGGAAAAACAGTTGCACGTCTGAAAAGTTGGCCACCTGGAGTAAGAGATAGCCTCTGCTCATATCAAAGGATGCTTTTAGTGATTCAGTGGTCCAGAAATTTGGACTGCTGACAATGCCTTTTTCATTAATTAAGAATCTGGTTTTTTTCCCCTAACAGGAGTGTTTCTAAAACATTCAGTTCACCTTTACCCTTGTGATCAACTGAAGATACAGCTCTTTGATTCTCTCATCTTAAACCATTTTCTCCAACACTAGGTCATTGTCTCCTCTCTACACTCTCCCAAAGCATCAAGAATGCTGCATACAGAGGTAAAAATCGTTTCCTCTACAAAGAGCATATGCATGTCCTTTTCACACAACCTTGAACTGGGAATTCACAGGAAGTTATTTGTCTTCTTTGGATACTTAATCTTTTCTGCCTTTTTAAGAAGGAAGACATTGCCTTGTTTTTACATGAATTGGGATTACACAGAAACAGGCTTTCATCCATAATTTACAGTTCATTTATTTATTTATTTTTAAACAGATTAACTTTGTATTCTCCTACCACATATTTGTGTAACTAACACTAACGTACTCCTTGTGTTCTTGGTACTTATGCCCAGATTGGGATGGGGTGAAGGACTCAGAAACATATCTGGCACCATATAAAATAGTCAGAAAAGTTTATCAGAATGGGAAAGTGGAAAATGGGACAATATGTATATATTCCTTCTTTTCAACAATGTGAAAACTGAAGCTTCTACTGTACAAAGCATAGTTACAGTACACCAACATCCAGATTTTCAGCATCGTTTATGGAAGCTGTTTGTCAAGAAAATGCAGTTCTCTTCATGCTTCACAAGAGCAAGAAACATAGTTTTTTGGTTGCCGAGTTTTCCTTAATAATTTTCTGTAACTTAAAAATTGATACAAATCTGATCTCTGCATTAACTCTGTGTGTTCAGTGGTGCTTTTGGGTTGCTTTTTTTTTTTCACGGAGAAAGTTACATTTAAGCACAAAGAGATATCACACAGCTTCTCTGTCCCTCCTCTTATAAAACTTTTCTAACAGTAGCTTGAGTTTTTTCTAGGTTCAGCATTAAGAAGGTAAGTTACCTTTTTTGGTTTCATTTTTAGAAGTTGTATTCAGCTTACGGACTTCTGTTCTATTTTGATGCATGAAACAGGGAACAAAACTAAAAATGGAAGACTAGTTATCTAAGCTATTTGTATGACCCTCATTACAAGAGCATTCTAGTACCACATCAACTGGAATTTGCATTTCCATTAAATCCACTGAAACTTGGAAGTTTTACTATTCCCCACCTTATACACTGGAACTGTAAGACAGGAGGACTAAAGAAAAAACAAAACAAACAAACAAACACACCAACAAAAAACCCACACCCAAACAAACCAAAAAACTCTCCACCTCTCCTACCAACTTCTATGCTTACATGTGACTCTACTTTTCGGAACCGACTTTCACAGACTTTCGGAAGGCCAGCTCTTTTGAAGGTTAATTGTTCAAAACTTTCTGAGAGGTTATATTCTTTTCAAGTAGATATTCAAACCTTAAGTTCCCACATTGACCATTATAGGCAGGGAGGATTCCTAGGCCAAAGTCCTGTGGAAAATTTGTTCTGCCACTGAACTCTGCCTAAGAGTAAACCCATTTACTCCAAGCCTTTTATTACAGTTCAACTAGCGGCACATCCCTTTTTAACCAGGAATAATTTGCATCCATAGAAGTGTTTCAGTATTTTAATAAAAATTTAACCCTTCAATAGAACGCATTTGAAGAATACTACTATTTGATTACAATCTAAGAGTGCCACCTCCAAGATCTTAAAAAAAATGACTGTTGGATGTAAAACATGAAACAGAAGCAACACAGATTTTTACTCTATATTTAAACTTTTATGGGATCACCTGAGCAAGATTCTGCAAAGCTTACAAGTTTACCCATACAACACCCAATCGTCTCTAGGAAGAGGATCTCAGTGGGCTTTAACTTCTATTACACACAATTTGCCCTCCCTGTTTATTTTATTTTCTACATACTACCCTATAAGTCATTATAAACTAATCCGTAACACTTGTTATCTATTTACCAATTCGTTGAATTAGCAAAAGAAATACATCTATAGTATTTAGACGATTGCCTGCTGTATGCAATTAAAGTATTATAAGGCAGGTAAACTGGTACTTTCCATACAGGACAGAACTTTAAAAAGGTAAACAATCAAAACAGTGAACTTAAAACTAAACCAAAAACACCCCACCCCCCAGATCTTAGGTATCTATTAACTTTTCTGAAGAGAACATTAACATTCAGCAGTTCACACACAGCATCGCAGTAATTTACCACAGCGTTTAACATAACAGTTTACACCATTACAGATCAAGTTGTGGTTAATTTTACCTTCGACTTTAAGTGTTTCAGGATTTAATAGTATTTTTATACATAAAATTGTTACAGCACATAGTATAACAAAAAATTTATCCTATCTCATTCTGAGACTTACTTGCTTTTAAGTCACTTTTCCCTCATCCCTACCCAAAAATAAAACACCCGTGACAACTGCAGCAAACAATGAGCTGGAAGATGACCAGACTTCTATTTCTGTAAAGCAGGGGCCCGCTACAGACTGAAGTGTACAGTATCAATTCTCATAACAAACTGGTGCCATTAGAAAGCAAGAGGTTTCTAAGCGTCCTCAATTTCAGTTAACATACAAGCAAAACGGCCAACAGAACTTACTCATTCTTAATTCTCCAAGCTGGAAAATTTAATGGCTGCTTTACAGCAAAACAGTACAGAAGTTCAGTTACATATGGATAGTTTCTCAAATAGAAAAGCATGTCATTTAGATAAGTTAAGTGGAAAAC